AGTGTGCCCAAGAAGGCCAATGACATCCCAGTCTGCATCAGTAATAGTGTGTCTGGCAGGACTGGAGATGTGATTGTCCACTTACAAGCAGCACTGGTGAGACTGCACTTTGACTACCGTGTTCAGTTCACTACAAGAAGGAGTTGTGCAAGCATGTGCAGAGAAGAACAACAAAGCTGGTGAAGGAGTAGAAAACAAGATTATGAGGAGTGGCTGAGGGAACTATGTTTGTTTAGTCTGGAGAAGAAGATAATGAGGGGAGATCCCATCACTCTTTAAAACTTCCTGAAAGGAGGTTGAAGATTGCAGGGTGTCTGTGTTTTCTCAGGTGACAAGGGATAGGACACAAGGAAATGGTCTCAGGTTGTGTCAGGGCAGGTTTAGACTAGACAGAAGGAAGAATTTCTTAATGGAGAGGGCGGTCAAGCATTGAAACAGGTTGCACTGGGAAGAGTGGTGTCTCTATCCCTGGAGGTATTTAAGAAATGTGTGGACATAGCACTAAGGGACGTGGTTCAGTGATGGGACTCAGTAGGTCAGGCTGATGGTTGGGCTTGATAATCTTGAAGGTCTTTTCTAACCTAGATGATTCTATCATTCCATGAATGATGTACTCCCAGCTTGAATGTCATACTAGGCTGCATCGAACTTTTTTAATGGACATCTGCATGCCTATTATAACAGAGCGCTTGTAATATGCTTTTTAAGAACATGGGAATGGGAGTCACAGTAATCTTTTGCAGGCTCATCTATTGTAACCTGTGGTGAAAAACAGAAAGTATGGTTTGTCTCCTTGTTTGAGTGTACTTTGGTAATGCTATAGTTGCTAGATGGAGTTTCCCTTTATGCTGCTTCTTGGCAGGGTAAATAGATCAAACAGTGTTTCATGCTCCTGAGACTAGATGAGTTCTGATACTACAGCTACCATAATTAGCTGCACTCAGGGCTGCTACGTGCAGCATAGATCACCAGCATGCAGCAAAGGAGACGAGATGGAAGGCGACACTGGGAGCCATCTGGGATTGCACTGCTCCCTGTCCTCAGTCAGCCTGGGGATTCCAGGAATTGAGCTGGCCCTGCAATGACCAACACCAAACACCGGTGATGGAAAAAATCAAATGGATTGGGGTTTACATGCTGTGGGGGTGCTTACAGCTTTCTTCTACCCATTTTATTTATTTTTAAATCTTTTAAAATGATTTTTTTTTTAAGTGTATAGCCTAAGTCCCACTGTATCTTATAATACAGTAATTAATTGAATGGAAACAGAAAAATGTAATTGTACCCTGACTATAATACATATATAATGGGAAAAATCAGATATTCTTCTTTTGTATGCCTCCATGTGTGATTTACTGCACATTCCTTGCAATCTGCTGTAAATGCAGAATAATTAATTTTCCCTTTTTTTGCTCACCCTTTATGGCACTCAGCAGCACAGTATCAAGTGGCTTTTTGAATGTGAATTAGTTCATTTTCTCAAAAACCCCAAAGTAAGAGTTTTATTTTATAAATGGGAAAACAAAATAGATGAACCTAAAGATTTAGGGTCTGATATGTGATACCTGGAGTTGATTTTTAAAGAGATTATTTAGCCTGCCCTAGGATTCTCTATGTTTATATACAGTCCCAAGTGTGTTCTGTTGTAGCTGTGGTAATTCAATATTTGTTTGAATTAAGCTCTGTAGATGGCACTCATTTCTTCAAACTGTAGCCATCTGCATTGGAAAAACTCCACCTGAGCTAGCTGACTATAAGGACTAGAAATATATGCCTGGGGAGCATGAGGCACCTCATCCTAAGGCCAGATACACGAAGTAACTTAAAATCAAGATTTTGTGTAAGAAGGAACTCGGAAAATTGTTGGCAATTGTGAAAAATATGGGTTAAGGAACTTGTCCAAATCACATGGAGATGGAGAGATAAAGTCAGGGACAGGACTCAGTTTTTTGGGGCTACATTCAACTGCTCTTGTCATCAAACCCATGTTTTTCTTCTTGTAATCTGACTCCTTTTGCATATACATGTATCTTTTTTCAAAATATATATATTTTTAAAGACATTGATACAGTCTCTTTCAGGTGCTTGGTCTGTTCAGTAAACAGAATCCAATCTTTTCAGAAATCCTGTGAGGGAAAACAGAAATTGTTACATCATAGTGTGATTAAAAAATAATAATTTACTTTTTTTTTTTTTTTTTTTTTTTTTTTTTTTTTTAAGTTATGAACTCATGGGAAGGCAATGAGCAAAAGATTCAGTTTCAATTTCTGGAGAACAATGTACTTTAGAGTTCATAAATCCCCCCACTTCACTTACAATGTGAGTAAGGACTCCTTCCTTTCACCTCCACCCTGTCTTAATTCTTATCTGTGCCTCCATTCAGTTATGTTACTCAAACTCCAGAGCTCAGTTACATGCAGCATCAATGATTTTTGTTCCTTTACCACATTGTTCCTGCAGGAAGCCTTTTTGTATACCAAAATTTCTGCTTGCCTCTCTGAAGCTCTGAGATAGAGTACATTGATTGTAAAAAGACTGCTGGAGACCAAATACTCAGTGCCAACAAATCTCTTCTGTAATTATGTAAACTAAGCCACTCATGACTTGGCCAACTTTTTGCAGATTTTCTAAGCTGCCGAACTTGAACACATTACTAAAAAGCACAGCTTTAATTAAATAGTTATAAACATTTTCTTTAGTATCAGAGAAAAAATGCACATTTCTGCTCATTTGTTTTTGGAAGTGACTGAATTACTCTTGATGGGACTTAAAAGAAAATCACTAGCCTGAAGAAGTAGTTCAGCATAGGAAATTCCAGCTTTAACAAATTTGGCTTGACAAAAAAAAAAAAAAAAAAAAGCAACTGAAACAGTCTTATTGTTTGAGACCCAGTTGCAGAAGGCCCTGACAAAACTGTAGGCAACAGCCCCTTTACACATACAGAAATATTTTAATTCAAGGCCTAATCTCAAATACTGTACATTGAAAGAGGCATCTCCAGTTCATCTCTTCCAACCTCCCAATTAAAGCAGGGCTAACTTCAACATTACAGAAGGTTGCTCCAAGGATACCTCAGAGCTTCCACAACATCTCTAAGCAGCTTCCTTCACTGTGTAACTGCCCTCACTGTGATTTTTTTCCTCATATCCAGTCAGGTTTCCTTTGCTGTGTATAAGGGGAAACTGTAGTTGTTTCCTTCAGTTCTTTCACTGTGCACCTCTGGGAACAGTTTAAGTCTATCTTCTCTATAATCTCTATTTACGTAGTGGAAAAAACAAACAAACAATGAGATCCTTTCTTTCCCTTCCCTTCTCCACATTGCATAAACCCAAGTCCCTCAAGCTGCGTGTTCAGCCCCCAAACCATTTTAGGGTCTGAGTTTTCAGTTTGTCAACCTCTCTTGTACAGTAGGGCCAAAGCTGCACCCAGAACTCCAGACACACAGCCTTTCTCATGTGGAGCACCACTCCAGAAACATCATGTTTGTGCCTTTCATCTTGACTTTCCATTAGATGCCGGGTAGTTTAAGTGTCTCATCAGGATCACATATGCAACTGGGAGGCATCTTCCTTTGTTTAAAGACAGCTTCATCCAGTTCCTTGATCAGGCATCTTGTAGCAGATACACACCATCACGTCTGCATGTTGAATTCCTTCTCTTGTCAGGTCTCACCCTCCTTGTACATCACAGCTCCTTGTCCTTGATCCAGTCCTATGCACAGCATACTGTAAGCCCTTTGCTCTTCTCTGCTCATCTTTCCTTACAAGCCTATATCCAGCCACTGCAGCACTCTGGTGATGTGAGCTGTTCCACTACACCTCCTTCATGCCAGGAAGGCCATCATCCTGTAGCTGTGTGTAGATGGCCAGTTCCTCCTGGTTCTTTCCCAAGGCTGCATGCAGACTGTACAGGTACTTAAGGTGATCTCTTGACTGCCCTGTTTACACAAGTGGAGTTTAAGAGCCTTCCTCATCACCCTGTCCCATAAATTCCCAGTCTGGAAAAGCTTAAATCAAACTTAAATCTCAGGAACTAAGTTCAATTATGAGACGAATGAACATAAAATCAGATTTTGTTATTTCACAGGCTACTTGAACATTATGGAAAAGAGTACTTAAAGAATATCTTTGGAGACATTTTCTTGCAGATTATGTTGGGACTGCTTTTATCAAAAATACAAATACTAATGTCCAGATAAATTGTACTTTCAAAGTATCTTCATCCCTTTCTGCTGTATGCCTGTGAATTCAAAATCCATTGTCTGAACAAAAGAAATTACTTGTTTCTCTAACCCAATACTTGCAAGACCTGCAAGTGAATCTAGAAAAAAGAAAGTCTTAAAAAAGAAGGGAAGCTTTCTAGTAAATTTAATTGTTTTGTCTGCAAAAAAGGTAATAAAAAGGCAAATGAGCTAATTCACTGCCATGATACCTACTACGAAAACTGTTTAAAAGAAGGTGCATAGTGGATTGCTGCTGACCTGCTCTTGTTTCCATATGGTTTGCTTCATTTATTCTCTTATAATTCACCGCATAAAATAAGGACAATGAAAGTAAAATTGCATGGCTGGGCTATATTGTATCTACATAAAAGGCAACAATTAAAAGCAATTGTCATGCTGTATTGAAGTAATCAGGGGAGCTCTTCCAGCATTTTACAAAACATAGAATTATAGCAATATTAACGGGTGTAACACTAGCTAATTTGGCTATAATTTCTGGTCTGATTGTCATCAGAAGTTAGAAAAAAATATCCTTTGATATCCCCCTCCTTGATACTGCAGCATTCAAAGATATCAATGTAAGATGGGTCTCTAGTATGTAGAGAAAAATAACACTTGTTGAAAAGACGTCTTGTGTTTTTCATTCATTTCAAAGATTTAAAGGGGAGTTGAAAAAGTTGCAAAATTTCAGCAGCTTTCTGGTTTCAATGCTCTTGACAGTCTGAGAGCCACTCAAACCTTTACTGCAACATTAAATATGCTTATTTTTCCACCTCAGGGTCCCACGATGTAGTTGCCTGGTTCAGATTCTGTGCTATTCTGAGTAATGTCCCAGGAGGCAAGATGCTGGGGATGGCATGGCCAACACAGAAATCTGCTGGAATGTACAGCAGGCTGGAGAGTCAGGTAGGTGCCGTTTAAAAAACATGACATTTTATGAAGTCTCAGTGAAGCTTTTAGTGTTATTTTTATAGCCCTACAAGAAAAAACAGGTAATTCAGCAAATTTAAAGCTTGGAAACATTTCCAGGATTTTAGATGAGGCCACTAGAACCCTATAACTTTCTGTTGTGCTTTTTCCATTCCCTGTTGTCTACTTGTCCCAGAATTAACTAGTAAATAGCCATAAGTCTAAATTTTTTTAGATTTCTGGGATGTTTTTCTTCATCCCCCCTCCTTCTCTCCTCCCTTCCCATTTTATTCTTTGCAGAGCAAGCTCTAGCAGACCTTCTCTCTTGCCTGGACTTAATGATTGTGTCTGTAACTGACCTTCCACAACATGTGATGCCATAACCCCTGACCCTCAAGCATCTTCAGTATGGGAGGAAAATCCTGTCAAGTGTCCAGGCTTTGTAGCACTCTTCAGAGTTTCTCAAAACACTTTCTGGATGATTCTGTGTCAGTTGTGTTTCTAGTATGCAACGTGGCCAGATGACCATAGATAGTATCAGGAGATAATAGCATCCTTCTCCCGTTGGCTGAATTTAGGTGTACTCTGAGCTAGAATACTGCATTGACCTGCTTGTCATGAGGCCTCTCAAAATTGTACCTTGTTATAGTGTTTCCACTTCTACATCTCCTTATTTTTGGTCTGCGCTTCTACCATCTCCTCAACATAGTACACCTCGCCACACCAGATTATAACTCCCTGAGTCTTTGCCTACATTTTCAGTCTCTTGCCCATTATTTCATACAAAAATACACCTCCTAGCACTTCTCAGATGTTGCTGAAGACACTATATGATAATGATGGAGCAGGTCATGTGCCACTCTAGCAGTTGCAAGTTACTGCATGTTACTGCATGTTACCACATGCAGTAACTGCAAGTTACTACAATGATTTTCTGTGGCACTTGTGAGTCAAATTTAGGTTATTTACTATTCTAGGCCTGTAAACAACTTCAGATACACCACAAGCAAATAATTCCTTATTGATGCAGATTATTTCAAACACAAATACACATGGTGTTATTTTGACAATAGTATTTTCCCTCCAGCTCTTCAAGAATATAAAAAACTATACTGGGTCTGGCTGAACATCACTCACTGATGGCAAACAAGGAAAAAATGTTTTCTTCCTTTTGCTTTTGCACGACCTATTTTTTCTTGCATGAGCTGTAATTAAAAAGCTCTTTATCTCAACCCGCAAGCTTTCCTGGTTTTCACTGTATTTTCTTCCCCTGTCCTTCTGTGGGGGGAGAGTGAGAGAGCAGTGTGGTAGAGCTTAGCTGCCTGTTATCCATAGGTTAGTGCCTGGTGCACCTTGACAATAAGCACACAGAGGTCTTTCAATTAAATAATTAATTATATAACTCTGCAGAGTCAGGTGCTTGACAATCTCTCACAAAGCAAGCACTCCTCTGACTTGAATCACCATTATTTATAGACAGCAAACTTGTGAAACTATCTCTCTGGCTACTTTTGGTCGTCTGCCTTAGCTGGTCTAACTTATTTTTACCGAGTTTGCGCATTCCGAGGACCAGCTTGGGGGTGGGGGGAGAAGAAGACACCAAATTCTGCATTTTCATATATTAGCGTTTTGGTGTGTGTTTTTTAAATATGTTAATGACACTTAATGAGCAAAGGGTTACCATAGGTCAGTCTGGAATTTTCCTTCAGCTGTTTTTCTCCTTCTTGTCTTTTAGTTTCCATCCCTTATCTCCCTTGCTTCTGCTAGCTCAAGGCTACCAGTTTCCCTGTTTTCTTCAAGGTTTCCTTGTTTTCTTCAGCCTGAGACTACATGCCCATTGGTTGTTAAACCTCCACAAAAGCCATTATTCATGTAGCAAGATACGGAAATAGGATTGCAAGATCATCTCAGCAATCACACCTATTTTGCCCTTTGGACATCATAATGTTGCCTCCGTTGTAACTTACCAATTCTTCTCTTTGATCTTTCATGATAACTTCAGAGGCCTCCTGTCTTCTGGAAGTGATTTTGTTTGCTTCCAAAGCCAGTGAACATTTTAAAATATCATTGTATCACTGCTCTCTTTTAAAGATACATGAGTTTGTTCCTATAACATTTATGCTGTTACTTTACCATCTCTTGAGTTAATCATATTATGCTACTATTCATATTTATACACGAGTGATGTAGCTATGCAGGTAAAAACAAAATACCAGTGCCTTTCCGAATAGAGTGTACTGTCTAAAAACAGATGCAACATTTTGCAATAACACTTACGTTGTGCATGTTATAATTGAAAGAGTATGTGTATGAGTTGAAAACAGTAAATCATAGCAGAATAATCTACTACGAGGAAAAAAGTTGAGTGGATTACATCCACTAAGGATATATTATTGTGTACTCTGCAATAGTTTAAGGATTTTTTTTTTGCTTTAGATTTTGAAATGATTAATAAAGATGCTTTTGTAGTTAAACTATCTTCTCACTTAAAATACTCTTAGAAGCTACTACACAAAATCTAATGAAGAGTATTCTGGTGATGTTAGAAGTTTCAAAACAGTTTTCAATGAACAGTTCAGAGAGTTATTAGTCATTAGTTATCAGTTATAAGAACAAGCGGGTTATTACAATGCTACGAGAAATTTAGGAGCCAAGGTCTGTTTTCCAGAAATTAGGCCAAATTTCCATTACCAAAATGGTTTTGAATAACTGAATCTGTCTGTTGGCTAGTTTGCTGAGTTACCTCTATATGCTAGAAGAAAAGATACCATAAAGTTAGTATTGAGTAGCTGATCTTTGGGAACTTTACAGAGAAGCAGGCAAAAAAGATATTTACCTACAGGCTCACAATTAATTACTTACCCTGAGTGTACTAAAGGGTGCTTCTGCATACAAATGAAGTAGCTTCGGTCTGTTGCTGGCCAGTAGGCTGCATGATACTGTTAAATATTGTTGAAGAAAGTAGTTGTTGAGCAGATTTCTGACAAAGACTTTAGTCCTAAAATTAATTGTTAATATAAACAGTTAAATTAATGTAAAAATGAGAACAAAGTAAATAAAGTGCATTTCATCCAGTGTTTTGTTGCACTGATTCTAATTAGTAGCACTAGTAAAACCAGATTTTTCCAATCTCTTAAAAGTTTCTACAATAATTTACCATATAATTTGAAACTATGACTTTATATTAAATTAAACATCAGATGATTCATTATTTCTACTGTAACGTTCTCTGGTTGAATTTGAAAGCTCAAAGCCCATGATTAGAGGATTCCTTCCCTCACTTTCACTGGGGCACTTGAGGAAAATTTCATGTTTTCATTTTCTAAGCCATTCAGAGAAAAGGAAGTTGGTTAGACATTTCTCTAAAATGTTATTATCAGGTATGCTTGAAGAGTTATACATGCATTTACTTTAACTTCATGTTTATTTTTGCACTGTAATTATACTAAAAATTCAGTGAAAAAGATCAATGAAATTCCACCAGTATATACAATACCTTCACTTACTCACAAAAAAAATATACCAGTCCCAATCTTGTTAAATTTTCTTTTATCTGAAATAATGTCTGTTCCTTATTCATCTATTTGTCTACTGAAGGAATAGACGTTAGTGCACACAACTCTTGACTTCTGCTGGCCAGGATACACAGTTCTGTGAACGACATCAGAATAAGACTGAGAGTGCAGATTTTTCAGTTTCTGTTGTTGTCTCCTGTGTCCCTTTGACTCCCTTTCCATCATTAGTACATGGAGCACCATCTTTTTTTTTTTTTTTTTAATGCTATCAACTTCAGGTCTGTAACTGAAAAATTATTATCTCTTTTTTTTAGCTAATTCATGCTGACATTTGAATGAAGTTTCATATGTACTATTTTGTTATGTATTTGTAATCATCTAGCCAATTGTAAACTAAATTTATTCTACTGTACCATAAGAGTACCAAATTGGTTAGGAGATGAATGCCTTCAGAAAAACTTCCAGCAAATTCACTCTCCTTATTTCCTTCCCCCCCAATGTTATTTGTAAGACAAACATCAAACATGTAATTCTTTAGTGTAAGAGCTAAAATTTATAAATGTTCAAAAAAAGAAAGAAACTAGAGATAAGCATGGTAATTAGTTTGCCCACTTCAGTGGGCATTTCTATGACCTTCTACATGTTTTTAATGATACAGTCTTGGGAAGTGACATAGGCTCTAACAGTGTAGGGGAGTGTTGCTCTATTTCCTTTCTGAACAAGCTGTCTGTTGGAAACAGGCCTCTAAGTTGTAGCTTTCCTCCAGTGTTAGGGTAAGCTACAGGCTTTCCTTATTTTATTATGTGCTCCACGATCCTCAGTCCTTCACAACTCAGCAGCCTAAGCCTCAATCAGGTCTTTTTAATTTTTTCTCCGCAAAGGTGAATTAAGGTGCACTCTCTCTCCAAGCTATCCAGGTCTTGGAAGGAATAAAGGTCAAAACCACAGAACAGACATTCCAAACCTGATGAAAACACAACTTTCATCACTGTTGCCAAAGAGAAATGGACATTATACTATTGTTTTCTGTTTCCTAGCTCCTGAGTGAGGATAACAAACAAACTCCCTCCCTGTGAAGAACATTTTCAATTTCAGAGCAGGCAAATCTCTATAAAAAGATTAGTATTCCTTTTCTTACCTACTTGAAAGAAGAGAAGAGCCTCTATGAAAACAGGGATGTGCATAAGACACTGAGACAGTACTGAGAAACACAGGAATATGCAGAAACTGTGTCTCGAATAACTGCAGAAATAGGTGGTCCTGTGGGAGAAAATTCTGTTAAAAACTCCAGCCTAGAAAAGCCCTGCAGTCTAAAATTAATAGTACATACTGAGAACTGCTGTGCATGGCTCTCCACTCAGGCCACAAGATGATGAGTCACTGGCAGCCCCACCTCTTTTCCTGCTACTTGCCTTTCTGTACATATGTCAAGGACAGCAGGTAGAACTGCTATCTTTATAAGTAAAGTAGACTAACTAAAAC